GCTGTATATTAGAACTGTAAATATGTATACATAGTGGCGTGCGAAAGTATGCGCTCATCTAAAATGAATATTTTCGTGTGATTAAATCATAAATCTCTTCCATAGATGACCAAAGTCTAATAACTCATCAGTAATAAACAAAAATAAATTGCCGCTGCTGTAGCTAACATATTATTCATATAACTATGCGTAGCTAATAATTAAAACTAAACCAATTACTTTTTTGCTGTATTGTATTGCGTTTAGCTATTTAGTATTTTGCGCATTTATCTTCTCTCCCAAAAGCCAAATGACAAAGTACACAGACTTATTTAAAGCTCTCGGCGCATATTTATAAATATATACGGGCGTACATATGTATGTGTATGTATGCATATGACAGTTCCTACTAGCTGTGTACATATGTGTGTGTGTGTGTTTCTTGGTGGCATTGTGTACATATTTACATATAAAGCTCTATATACAAATTTTGGTGCCTTATCAGTTTCCCCCCTCCACAGAAATTAATATTTTGTTCAAGTTCAAAGGAAAAGTTCAGACATTGATCTAATTAAACAGAATTAGAAGTTGATACTGGCGAGAGCTTGCCAAAATAAATCATTTGCCGAATCGGGTCACTAAATTAGTGACTCTAGATGCAAATAAAAATTTCTAATAAAAAATGTAAATAAATCAATGTCGTTTTATGTGAACGCTGATAAGGGATAATAAAAACTAGCGAATGACGCACAAATACAAGTCTATTATAATTATTATTATTATTATTATTTTTTTTTTTTTGTATGTAAAAATTTTGTAAAATTTCCTTTATATAAATGTTTTTATTACATTATGAAATATTTTTTTATTTATTTTTATTTTAGTAATTTTTTTTACATGCAAATTTTAATTATTTTTAATCCTTTTTGTCATTAATTTTTTGTATATTTTAATATTGTCTTTTTTTTATTTTTTTATTTTTTTTTATACTTTTATCAATTTAATTAATTTGTTTTATTTTTTATATTATTTATTTTATTTTATTTTTTTTATTTATTATTTATTTATTTTTTTTTTATATTAAATTAGTGTTGTATATACATATGTATATAATAAAACTATTTTTTTATTTTGAAAAATCCAATAATTTTTTTAATTTTTACTCTGTCCTACCTTTTTGCTTGTCCTTATCTCAAATTTCGAATCTTTATATATGTATTAATATCTCTATCGCTATCTACACCTATAAATATAAATTTATCTATATCTTTACCTATACCTACATATATGTATGTACAATCTATATCTATATTTAATATCTATTGTTATCTTTATTAAAATCCTTATATATTCCTCTATAGAAACAAACATGGAGCAAACTTCTACTGCTGGTGGCCTTTGCGACGACTCTGGGCGCGGCTGTGCCCACCGGCTATTGCATAGGTGTTATCAATGCGCCCGCAACTGTAAGTAACTGTTGTAGCTGAAGTTTATCAAATTATAAATGATATTTGACTGATTCGCCTTGATAGCTAATGAAATCGTGGTGCAATGAAACAGTACACGAAAAATATGGCAGCTGGATGAGTCCAGGTGGCCTGGATGTACTCTGGTCTTCCGTTGTTTCCGTCTTCCTGATTGGTGGAGCCATCGGATCTCTGGGTGGTGCTGGCTTGGCTAATAAATTTGGCAGGTTTGTATTTGTATTTTGAAATCGATTGATTTATCAATGCCATTTTTAGTGCCGCTTATCGGCTTTACCTAGATTAGCTTAATTGCCTGGCTTTAGCTAATCTAGGAATTTCTTAATCTACATAGTTGATTAAGTTCTTAATGAAATGAAATTTCTAGCAAAAATAAGTTAGAAACATGCCCTATATAGAAATTTAATCTAATATTTAAACTAATCTCCATTTTCTCTCTCTCTCTCTCTCTCTTCATCTCACAGAAAAGCCTGCCTGTTCATTTGTGCCGTTCTCTTTATCATTGGCGCTGTGCTCTTCTTCTTCTGCCGCGCTGCCAAATCGGTCGAGATGCTGCTGCTGGGCCGCTTGATTGTGGGTCTGGCCTCTGGTCTCGTCACTGCCACACAGCCGATGTATCTGGCAGAGCTGGCACCGCCCGCCCAGCGCGGCACCTTGGGCGTCTTTTGTGGCGTTGGCGTCACCGGCGGCGTTGTCGTCGGCCAGGTGTTCAGTTTGGCTGATATTTTTGGCACAGCCGAACGTTGGCACTACGCACTGTCCGCTTACGTATTGCTCATCATTGTGTGTTACCTGCCCTCGTTGCTGTTTCCCGAAAGTCCCAAATTTCTCTACGTGATCAAGAGCAATCGAGAGGCAGCCAAGCGTGAGCTGATGCGCCTGCGTGGCCCAGATGCCATCAAGCTGGTGGACCAGGAGATTGCAATCATGCAAGCGGAGGTCAATGACGACATGCAAAGCAGCAGCTTTGGTGATGTGCTACGCGATAAGCGTTTCCTCCTGCCGCTCATCATTGTCTGCTGCTTCCAGGGCGGCCAGCAGCTGTCGGGCATCAATGCAGTAAGTGCAGCTTATGAATCAATTTGGTCTCATTAATTTACTAAAATTGTTGCCTTATCTTGCAGATCTTCTACTATTCCGTTTCGATATTCACCAAGGCCGGCTTCTCCGAGCAGAATGCACAGTGGGCAAATCTAGGCGCTGGCTGCTTAAATTTATGCATCTCACTGCTCGGCCCATTGCTGATGGCCACCTGCAAACGTCGCACCTTGATGATGCTCTCCAGCTCCATTTGCTCCATTTTTCTCTTCAGCATTGCATTTGTTTTATACTATATTGTGAGTCTATTTAGATAATTGATTGTTTACAATTAGATTTCATTACATTTCCTTTGATTTTTGTCAGGAATCGGTTAGCTGGTTTGCCTGGGCTTGCATTGTCTGCATTATGGGCTATATATTCTTTTATCAATTTGGCCTCGGACCCATACCCTATTTCATTGGCTCAGGTAAGTATCGTTATGCACATACATATATATTCCATATTGACTAAACAATTGATATATCTTTTAGAACTGTTTGAGGTCGCGCCACGCCCCGTCGCCATGTCCATGGGCAGTCTCGCGTCATGGGCGTGCAATTTCATAATTGGCATGGCCTTTCCCAGTTTACAAAGTGCTTGGGGCGCCTTTGTTTTCCTGCCGTTCTCGATTACCTGCGTGCTGCTCTGCCTGCTAACGAAATTCTATCTGCCGGAAACGCTGGGACGTGATCCATCAGAGGTGGCGCCGCTGGTCGCCAAAGGATTTCGATCCAAAATCAAATGAGGCCCAACTAGAGAATAGCTTACTATATAATTCTTAGCTTTAAGTTAAATGTTAGTAAATATATATATATATATATATAGGTGGAGACTAAGTGCCTATGCTCGACAATAAGTGTTCGATTTGTTAACACGTACAACTAACTAGTAAGACACCCTGTACAATCGGCATCCATTGCCAACATGTGTAAGAGGTTCGCTTCTTATCGCTTGCTGCACAAAGAGAAAAAAAAGCAAAAAAGAAAAAGCTAATTGCCTTGAGAAACCGACTGTGTTGCTACCTTTGTTACTTTAGCTAATTGAATTTACTGCTCTCCCATTGAATAGAGGAAAGGTTGACGCGAACAAAGCTTGCCTATCATATAGATACTCTCTGATTAAGACTCTTTTGTACATAGATTACTATTGAAATTTATATTAACATAATTGTATGAACACAAATAAAGATCATTCAAGTGCAATGAACACATTTCCCATGCTGACGGGACACAATCTCAGCCGACATGTCAACTGATAAGAGTATGAACTAAAGCATAAAAGCAAGCCAATGATAACTGGCAGCTTGTACTTGAATAGTGAGTCTGATCGTTCAATGGATAGCCTGTATAACGAGAATTTATATATATATATATTATTGTAATTGAATGGGTTATGATATTATTTTAAGTATTTCTATTGATGGGTTTAAAATCGATTACGCGATTAAACATTTATTAAATAAATTATCTAGCTCGTATAATCTATAATCCATATCATATCGATAGGGTATATATTTTTTAATCTCCTAGAGCTGGTAATGGTAACAAATAACAAAATTACAAATAACAATTTAATAATTTGCTCAATATAATTTTAAGTTTATCTAGATCAAAAAGTCTTTATCAGGTGTTGTAGTAATGCATCAAAATAAATTGTAAATTTTGTTTTTATTCAATTCAATAGTTTTCATTTAATTTATTTTAGGCATACTTTATTATTTTATTGATTTAATTTACAGGTATTATTTAATTTATAATATTGACTTTTTCGCGAAATTATATTCACTTAAAAAAAAAACATAAAATTTCTACTAATTTTGATAGAAATGATTTTAAATATCTTGAATTTAAATGAGTGCAATTATAATACATATTAATTTATGTTTATGATAAAAAAAAAAAAAATAACAAATCATTTTTTTAAAATTATAAATATTTAAATTGATGGTTATAAATAAAAAAAAATATATGAAAACATTTTTAAAATATTATTTTGAACATTATGAATTATTAATTAATATTGAATACTGAATTTTTACCATTTTGTTTTTAAATTAAAAATAAACAAACAGTGCCAATATATTAGATAGCAACGAATATGCCTTATAAGAAAGACGTAAATAAACCTGTTGCCCTGTAATCTATCATGTCTAAATGGGATGGGGGTACAATCTGTGTGTTAGTGACAAGAGAGTCAAAGGCGCATTGTCAACTCTACAAGTCGACAAGTGTGTGCCAATTAGAGATTGGGCTTTAAGGTGTGTAGAGTGAGTCAGTTCGTAAGCAGCATCGTTAGATAGAGCAACGCAATATGGTTGTCATAATGGTATTTACAGGGTATTTTATGGATATATCATATATATGTATATATATTTGTATATATTCCGTGCTCAGTTTGTGTCTTAAATCATTTGATTTGCATACATATACATATGTAAATAAATGTGTGTGTGTGTGTGTTTTCTTTTTGCAGCACGTGAACGATGCAGGCGAGAGCTGGACCTGGTTGCTCTTCCTCATTTGCCTGACGACCACCTTGGGCAGCACAGTGCCCGTTGGCTACTTCTTTGGTGTGCTCAATGCACCGGCTGAGATCATCCAGAGCTGGTGCGACGAGGTGCTCTCGAATGAATACGATACGAACAGCAGCGAGAGTCAGCTGAATCTGCTGTGGACATCCATTGTGTCGATCTATTTGATTGGCGGCATCTGTGGCTCCTGCTTCAGCGCCTGCTGCTGCAATAAATATGGACGGTTTGTTGCACTAATTTCAGTTAAATAAAATACGTAGATAAACCCATACTTACTCAATGATCTCTGGCAGCAAGGGCACCTTGATCATAAGCAGCGTAATTCTGTTGATTTGCGGCCTGCTCTTCACCTGGTGCCGTGCAGCCAGATCGCTGGAGATGCTGCTGGTTGCCCGTTTCTTTGGCGGCATTGCCTCGGCGCTGATCTTTACGGCGCAGCCCATGTACTTGCTGGAGCTGGCTCCATCTTCGCTGAGCGGCAGCGTTGGCGTCTTCACCTGCATCGGCGTCACGGCTGGCATATTGCTGGCGCAGATTGTCAGCCTGCCGCAGCTGCTGGGCAACGACGACAATTGGCCATACGCCTTGAGCTTCTATGCGCTGCTGGTGCTCCTCTGCTTGCTGCCGCTGATGTGCTATCCGGAGAGTCCACGCTGGCTCTATCTGGTCAAGGGCGACGTGGCGGGCAGTGCGCATGGTTTGCGTCAGCTGCGTGGCAACGAAGTAAATGTGCAGCTGGAGCTCAACGAATTGGAGCAGACATTGTCGAAGAACGACAAGTCCAGCACCATATGCCAAGTGCTGCGCGACAAGACGCTCCTCCTGCCACTGCTGCTCGTCTGTGCGCTGCAGGCCAGCCAGCAGCTTAGCGGCATCAATGCGGTAAGCAGTGCAGATATCCTTTACCGCAGCCAATTCACTCAAGCTAAGTCAACTTCGTCTCTTACAGATCTTCTTCTATTCGCTGTTGATTTTGACCAATGCTGGCTTCTCAAGCAGCTCGGCCACCTGGTTAAATCTGGGCATCGGCTGCTTCAATCTGTTCACCTCGCTGCTTGGGCCGTTGCTGTTGTATAAATTCAATCGGCGCCCGCTTCTGATGTGCTCCTGCCTCATCTGCGGCGGCTCGCTGGCTGGCATGTCGTTCTCCCTCTACTATCTGCTCAGCTCGGAGGGCATGGCGCTGCGTTATGTGAGCATCGCATTCATTTTGACATTTATACTGGGCTTCCAACTAGGTCTCGGACCCATTGCCTATTTCATTGGCTCAGGTTGGCGTTCATCGATTTCCACATATCCAGTCAATTAATTGTAGTTGCTTGCAGAGCTACTGGAGGATGCACCGCGTCCTGTGGCCATGTCTTTTGGCAGCCTCTTCTCCTGGCTAGGCAATTTCCTTATTGGGCTGTGCTTCCCCCTGCTGCAGATCGCCTGGAGCTCCTTTGCCTTTATGCCCTGCATGTGCGTTAGCATATTTTGCCTGCTGCTGGTCTGGCGTTATCTGCCAGAGACACGCGGCAGGGAGCCCAAAGATGTGAAGCCACTGATGAGCCAAGGACTCCGTTCCAAAATCAACTAAATAAATATATTACATTTAATGTACATAAGTATATTCCTTAACCTCCATGTATTTATAACAATCAACAAACGCAAGGCAAATAAAATGATTACCACAAATAAACAAAAAAAAACAAAAAATTATTTAAAAGTATTTCCTCCAGGTCTTTAATGCTCATTAAATATTTACACACACTTCATTCACCTTACCACACTACACAAGTGACCTCCAACAGGCCTGAGCGACTGAAGAAATAGTGCAACTGCAGCCCTTTATATAGGGCGACTCACACTCAATCATAAAGTCACGCTCAAATGTTGAGTAGGAGTCATTGCAGTCGAGCTTTAAGTGACCAATGGGAACACACAATCTCTCTCTATCTCCCTCTCTCTCACACTATACTAAATGAATACTGCTGCGTACAGATAGACAGCTTAAATGATCCTCTTGTGTTTTTCTTCGTTCCTGCTTTTTTAGGCAAAGAGACAGAGCGAGAGACGAAGAGATAGAATACATACTTTTATTTTTTTATTTTAGTACTTCTCTTACTACTATCAGAAAGCGAATTTATTCAATGCTCAAACGATTGTTAATGCAGACATAACGGTAAAGTATACGAATGCGCAGACAAAAACTCAAAAAATGCGCAGAGCTCTTATACGCATATTGCACTTGCGTTCTCTGTCTCCCTCTCTCTTTATCTCTATGTCTCTCGCTCACTCTTTGCTGAAATGATCAGTGAGCCAATAGCGACGTCACATTTGAAGCGTCAAAATTAGCGTTTGTATTTGTCTTCTAAAAATATATTTCGCCCAGTCAGTCAGTGGCTGGCAGAACGTTGTGGCGAACGTTTCGTTTCGTTTGATAGCGGCGCGCGCGGTTGATTTGAATGCTGCAGAGCGGTATTAAATGCGGCAGCGGCTGATGAAGTGGAATTAAGTAATGTACGTTTATAAATAAAAATACGGTCTACAGTGCTATAGTGTGCTACAGGTGCCAATAAATAAATAGAGCAGCATGAATATTTTCAGATTGAGTTAATGTTTAAATAACATGTCAGTGTAAATATGTATGCGATTGTACACTTTCCTGCATAAATCTGCGTACACTAAGAAAAAAAAAATGTTTGTGTTCAGCTGTTTATAACATTTGCTTATGTGAGCGAATTTTATTTTTATTTTTTAAAATTATAGTTCATTTAATTATCTACTTATCCATGTTTTTGGTTTCTCAGAATAATTAGGTTTATATATTTTAATGTTGGAAAACATCGCGGATGTGGAGGCCATATGATTTCGTACAATTTCTTGTTAACGTTTTAAAATAATATAAACTTAGTTATTTTGAATAAACCAAAATATGGATAAATAGTTAATTAAATCAACTATGTGTTAAAAATAAGATTCAGCTAAGCTAGAGACAACTTATGCTGGCAAGTGTATGTGAGTTAAAATAGATGTACACTCATGGTCAAATTAATAGGTGTGACCCAAAGATTCTAGCATATTTTAGAATAATTACGGTTTGACAACATCTATCAGCACGAAATTTTTTTTGTTAGGTATGGCCACACTATTTAAAAAGGAAATAGGTAAATCCCCCCAAAAAAATTTACTCGCTAAAAAGTTTTGGCTGTTATACATTCTCTACCTCAAAATCGACCTGGACACATTAATAGGTGTGTTTAACTAAACAAAAAATTATTAAAATATTAAAGTGTTTTTGAGTAAGCAAAGGTAGTATTTTTATTGAATATAATTTGATTGAAGCATCAACATTTTCATTTGCAACATTTAAATAAAATTAGATGGGTCGTGGAGTTCACTGCAGTGCTGAAGAGAGAAATCTCGTTCTCAAGCTCCGTGAAGAGGGTAAAACTTATACATGCATTGCCTTACTAATGGGACGATTAGAGAACTTTGTTACAAATGCTCTAGCACCAAAAAAGATAAAAGGAAGCCGGGTGCCCGGAGGAAAACTACCGTAAGAGAGGATTCCCAGATAGTCACCTTGGCTAAAAGGGACCCTTTTAAGTCTTCGAGAGCGATTGCCATCGAAATGGGCAATGTTGTATCGGCACGAACTATTCGTCGACGGCTATTAAGCTCGAATCTACCTGGGAGAGTTGCTCGCAGGGTTCCTCTATTGCGTAAATCAAATATTCGGATGAGGCTTAATTTTGCTCAAGCTCACAAGGCCAGGTGTGGTTTAGAGGGGGAGCGTAAATGGAGAAAAATTCTCTGGAGTGATGAAACCAAAATAAAATTTATTTGAGAATGACTCAAATATAAATATTCGAAGACCTATAGGCAAAGAATTGGATCCTAGATATACAAAAAAAAAGACGGTTAAGCACGGAGGAGGCGGCATAATGGTTTGGGACTGCTTTTCATAGCATGCTTTTGAATTGGACCATCGACCATTTTCATAATGGACAGATTCCTGTAAAAGGAACTTTTGAGTAGTGTTATGCTACCACATGCCCACGACAACATACCTCTAAAATAGAAATTCCAACAGGATAACCATCCTAAATAGGACTCCCCAGTAGATAAGGATTGGTTTCATGAAAATATAATTGAAGTTTATGAGTGGCCAAGTCAGTCTCCAGATCTCAATCCAATTGAGAACCTTTGGGGACACCTGAAAAGGCAAATTTCCAAGACTACCTGCTTCAATTACACCCAATTATTGGAAAAAACTCAGGAGGAATGGAGCACCGATCCTGTGGAAAGGTGTAGAAAGTTAATATCCTCTATGCCCCAAAGAATCAGCAAAGTCATTGCGAATAAAGGCGGATATACAGGGTATTAACCATACTTATCTAAATATATTCTAAATATTGTACAATATTTAAGAATTTTTAATTTTTTTTTTTAATTTGCTGGGCACACCTATTAATCTGGCCAGCAAAAATTTGAGTTTTTTGTGAAGTATGCCAAAATTATACTAAAAATTATTATTTTTTAAACTGGTTTTTTGTTGTTGTTATTCTATGATGTATCTATTTTTTAATATAAGTTGAATTTTTTAGTTTCATGAAAAAATATAGACGTTATTCCCATTAAAAAAAAAAAAAATTCACACCTATTAATTTGACCATGAGTGTACATGGGAAATCAGCTGCGAAATAAGAATCGAAAACGAAACGAACCCAAACGAAATGAAACGCAACAATGCAATGACGACAACGCATTAGTGACGTCACGCCCGGCATGTCGTTTATTTGGCATCTGGCAAAGAAATAACATAAAACAGCAATAACAACAGACTCATACACACACACACACACACTCATAAACATAGCAGGCAGACAACAACAACAATTAGAAGCTATAAACATTTCGCTGCGATCGTTGATAGTTATCGATTATCCATGATGAATAAGTTTGCCAAATGTGTAAATACCAATAAGAAGAATAACTTAAATAAACATGTGTGCGTACATGTGTACGTACACGTGTAGTATGTACGAAATATATGTACATATGTATGTAACTTTCTTCCCTTTTTTTTGCAAAAAGAGTGCCATGCGATACGCCGGTCAATGCACGAAAATTAGTTTTTTAATTTTTTTGTGGGTCTTGGCCCCACATCAATGTCTGTCAAACGAGACGGGGAACATTTGGTAGCCAAGTACATATCCAACTGTAATTTATTATTATTCGTGTCACTTGCTTCACATGCAAAAACACACACACACAGATACATTCGACCGTAGGCATTTTACCACATTATCCATGTCATTTGCTTTGCTCGCTCGCTCGCTCACACACACATGCGCACGGCTAAACATGCACAGATTTTACCGCAACTTGCGTTTTATTATTATCCGTGTCATTTGCTTTGCTCGCACACACACAAGCGCAACTTGCGCTTAAGCATTTTTCATTTGCATCCAAACATTTCTTTCGATCTTTTTTGTTCTAGTTGAAACTTTTTGAATATTTTCTCATTTAGCTGTTTGGCACTTAACATTCACTGCCTGTCTATAATATTTTTTTGGTTTTATATTTTTTTTGACGTGGGCAATTATGTACATTATGGAAAAAATAATTATGCAAGTGCGCTCTTTGAGTCGAGTAACTCAATGTTTGTATTATTAAGCGAGCTGTTCGATTTGTGGGCGCTCAAAAAAAAAGAAAAAAAAAAGGCATAAACAATTTCGGCAATTCAGTTTATGAGGCAATTAAGATTTGAAGTATAAATCCAATTGTTTAGACATTTAGTTAAAAGAACCAGCCAAGGGAATCGCGCACACACATACAGAGGGGCATGCATATGTGTGTGTGCGTTTATCCCAGAGGGTTGTGTATGAGTGTGTTTTAGTTCGGAGGTCTTTGTATGCATAGATATATATGTATATGCATATGTGGGATATGTTTAAGCAGCCAATCAGCTTTTCCCAGGAGTAAATCTACATACATACATACATACACACCCATTTCTATGTATTTACGTACGTATATTAGCCTAAAATCATCGAGCGATTTCCTTAAATATTTTTTTTTTTTTTTTTTTTTTAGTTTTGTTCTGTCTTTTGATCTTTTCTTCTTTATAATATTTTTTCACCGTAATCCATGGAATTCCATAAATTCTTTTAAATTTTGAGGTCAATTAGCATTTTGTTTAGTTGATTTTTCTTTTTGCCTTGAATTCTTAATGCTAAAAAGCATTTGTTATCGTGCTGAAAGCTTTCCAGCTAATAAGAAATTAAATTATTTTTTTAACTGAGTATAAAAATCTGTAAGTTAATTGCATTTTAATAAGCATATTGTTGAAAGATCTAACAGAACTAAGAGTATTTACATTATTATTCCTTATTTTATTCATTTTTATTGTGTTAACACCTGCTTTATTTCATTAAGAATATAAACATAAAGTTGACAGTGTTTGTTTAATGTCTCTATTTTTTTTTTTTTTTTTTTTTTTTCTTTGCATTTGCTCATACACATGTCAATTAATTGTTTAATGCTTTTTTATACCCCGCACACATTGAAATCAGGGTTTAATGGTTTACCTAGAATGTATGTAATAGACGCTAGCAGGCGGAGTAGAATTTATAGATTATATTATAAATTTAATATTTATATATTTATATAGCTTTTAACTTATAATATTATAGGCATTTCTGTGGGCTGTCTAGTCGTTCATTCCCCATATCTCCTAGTCTCTATTTGGCTCGTAATTTTGATTCCTTTTCTTTTTAGCATTATTCTTGCTGTTTTGTTTTGCTTTTGGCGCCAATTTGTTTGGTTTTTAATTAGCCACATATACATGTATATACACATTTATATGTATGTATGTATGCGTGTCTGATATTTTTTTTATTTTTGATTGTTTTCGCTTGTAAATAGTTAGGGAATTTAATTTAATTTACGAACCGCCGCCGCAACTGTAAATACAAAGTACTTATCTATGTTTCTATTTGGTTCTTAACCGCATTTATAATTAAGTACAGAAAGATATCTCTGCCAACTAGATTTTCTATAATTTAGCCATGCAAAATGAAATAAATAAGTAAATGAGAAGAAAAAAAAAAAAAAACTACCCACAAATTAGACAAATGACTGTTGGCTGTTGTAGAAGTTTATAAAAATAAGCTTCAACATATTTCACACTCACTAGACTCTAGAGGGCGCTAAGAAAGAGAGATATAGAGAGCTAAAGAGAGAGGGTGAGGGTGAGGGCGAGAGCGATTGATTGACTAAATTATACTCTGTATTAATAATTACACAGAAATGTGTAGGATAAGGTAAGGCGATGGTGTTAAGCCTTTGGTAGTGCTTGACAGGTGTTACTATACACTATTTACATTCCTGAAAATCGCATAGAAAGGCGATAATTAGTTTGCTAGCCTTAAATATATATTAATAGTAAGATTTCTTAATTAGCTGTAGTATTAAAATATAAGATCTCTAACACTATTAAATATATAAATAAAGTAATTGTAAATATTTGAGTTCTTTTAATTTTAGTAATTGAGTAATTAAGTACCTATAACATTTTTTATATTTTCTTCATTTTTATTTTATTAATTTTTTTATAAAAAATGTTTTTACTATTCAAAATTAGTTAGTTGTATGTATTAGTCAGGCCACACAGTACATATAATATTTGTTTAGTTAAAGTCAGTTTCATATTACCCCACTTAAGTAATTTTCAGGGTATTCTAAAAGAAAAGAAAAAAACGAAAAATAAAAGCATTTGGCAACCGCTTTCAATATGATTAGGAAGTCTTCATATTTCGATGCTGTGGGCAGCAGAAACTAGGCGACAAGTGCCACCATCATTATGATTTTGATGATCATCATCATCATCATCATCGTCATCGTCATCAGAGCAAGACCGCAATCAAGCAATGCCACCCACAGCATTTGTTACTCAGACACAACGAAAAAAAAAAAAAAATAAATAAAGAAGAGTTTGGCAACTGCTAGAACAACAAAATGAAATAATTCATATTCATATTCCATATTCTTATTCATATTCATTCTTTTATAAAAACAAGTCAAGTCCATTGATGCGTCTGCTCGCAGACGAATATTTAAATTAATCTGTTCGAAAATATCATTAAACTGTCACTGCGAATGGGGCACTCAAAAGAATTATCACTAGTTAATATGAGTTATGCATAGAGCATTTCGGTTTTGGAATTTTTGGATTATTCAAAAAGAACATAGATCACAAAGTATTAGAAGAATGAGCTATGCAATATATGTATATTGTGTGATGAAAAATAAAATGATAAAATACAATGTAAAATGTGTATATATATTTTTAATCAATCATAAAATATTTCAATTGAATTTTAAGAAAATTATTATATCATTTATGATTATTAAAATTTTACAAATGTTTTTATTTGTTGTATTTATTATAAATTTTATATATATACATATACACATATTTTAATTACAATAAGTCGTAAATTTGTTACTAAAAAAAAAATATAATAATAAAAATAAAAAAAATAAATTGAATTATATAAAACAATATAAACAATAACAAACAATATAAAATACTTTTTTTTTAATTCGTTAATTTTTAAAAAATAAATACTTAAGAAAAGGCAATAAATTTTCAAATATAATTTAAGCTCTGTTTAATTCAATTTAGGTTACTAATTTATAGACCTAATGCCAAGCATTGGTATAAATAAATAAAATTAAATAAAAGAGAAAATTCGCTAAAGCATTTGTTGCCACAAACATGCATCCATAAATAAAAAGAGAACTACAAATAAAATAATACCAGCGAGTAAATAAAGATTAGCACAAAGATTTAGTGGCAGCTCGAGTAATATATGGGGCGTTTGTCTATATATACAGACGGCCCTTTGTTTATTTCGCTGCTTTGGATAGATGCTGCAGGAAGTCCTTTAGCAAGCATTGATGATATGTTTATGTATATTCGCAGTTTTTTTTAGGGAAATACAACCAATTTAGATCGATGGGCAGCCCAAGCATCGAATCGAAGCATGTCCAGACGACAACCCGAGAGTTGCCAACGAGCCGCTAATCGAGGCAAAGTCCAATTGGATCTCGATTTCGATTTCGATTCGGATACGGATACGGATACGGACTTGGATGTTTTGGTGTGGAGGAGGCCATCATTATGTCGTCGCGGCGCAGCTCCTTTCGCCGCAAGCCCGCAGAGAAGCCGGCATTTGAGCGTTTCAAGGACCATTGCCGTCACTTCACGGCATTTATGTTCAGCAATGTTGGCATCATACTTCTAGTCACGTTTTATACCATTGGCGGCGCCTTCATCTTTCAGACAATCGAAATTTTCGAATACGAAAAACTCAAGACGAAAAACCTAATCAAGCCCAATGCGACGGCTGAGTGCCTCAACAGCATCTGGAAGCTGACGTCTGAGAACATCAGTTTCTACGATCGACAAGCCTACAGAAATAGGTAAACTTAATAATGAATGTACATTATATGCTATATTAGTTACTTCCCTCCTCTCCAGTGTCAACGAAGTGCTGCTAAAGTATCAACAAGCTGTGTATAAGAAACAGATCAAGGGCCCCGATGTTGATCACCAGTGGAGCTTCTCGGGCGCATTTCTCTACTCGCTAACTGTCATCACGACCATTGGCTATGGCAACATAACCCCCAGCTCCGATTGGGGCAAGCTGGTGACAATACTCTATGCGATCATCGGCATGCCGCTCTTCCTGCTCTATCTCTCTAATATAGGTATGAATATTGCCATAGGTAAACTGTTATGGCTATGTTATAGTTATGTTATGGTCATGTTATGGGTAGGCTAATATGAGTATTGGGTATTTAATTATTATTAATATTACTACAACTATTTCAGGTGATGTGCTGGCCAAATCCTTTAAATGGATCTACTCCAAGGTCTGTCTCTGTCGCATTTGCCCAGGCGTAGCCAAGCGGCGCATAATACGCGAGCGACGCAAACTTCGTCAGCTGGCACGAGCGGTAAGTAGATAGCAAATATACATATGTATATAGTATATGCTCTCTATATCTCACCAATTCTATGCCCACTTCAGTTGCAGTTGCACAACATGGAAAGCGCACGTGGCGGCAGCAGCAGCAGCAACAGCTACTCCAGTAACAGCAACAGCAGCTCGATTAGCAGCAGCACCAGCAGCAGTGCCTATACCAAGAGCTCCATGCAGACCTCCAGTGTGCTGGATGTGCCGTACTCCGACTCAGATTCAGATATTGAGCGCGAAATACGCGGCAGCACGGATGAAATAACTGTTCCCCTAACTGTCTGTGTCTTCGTTATGGTCAGGTGGGCAACGAAAGCGAAAATTGCGACATTTCAATTGCATTAATGCAGTTATACAATTTACAGCTATATACTATCGGGTGCCATACTCTTTGGCCGCTGGGAGGATTGGAATTATCTGGACGGCAGCTATTTCTGTTTCATCTCATTGAGCAGCATTGGATTTGGTGACTTGGTGCCGGGCGATCGTGTGGTATGCAATGCAAATGTATTGAATAGACAGTTGCTATGGCACAGATATTATGTACTCCTTATCAGTAGCAAGAGCTAAGTTGAAGGAAGCTATTTAGAAAATGCTAGGCATAGGTATAATTTATAGATCGAGATATCTTTTATTGAAGTCTGATCAATTTGATTTGATGAGGACAAGATTTGAAAGATGTCATATAATCTTTGAAAGGGCAAAGGGCTTATAACATATTATGATAAATATAATTAACCATTCTTAGCAATATATGCAAATAGATAGCTTTGCTGACTGTACCTATATTTAAATCTATATATTTATATCTGTTCACGCTTTTGTATTCACTATTTTTTAGATAACCGCCGATAAAGACAAAGTCGAGTTGAGCTTCATTTTATGTGCCGTTTATCTGCTGCTGGGAATGGCGCTAATTGCCATGTGTTTCAATTTGATGCAGGTGAGCTCGAATAGTCTATACTATGTATTTTCTCTATTTATGTACATATTGAAAACTTTGTTGTATTTCAGGAACAAGTCATTCATAATATGCGTGCTATAAAGCGTGGTTTCAAGGCCTGCTTCCGTTGCCGCAGCTCGTAGCCAAAGATCAAGATTTGTTGACGTACAAAAATTATTAAACAACAATTACGTTAATTATAGGTTACAAATTAACTAGTCTCGTAGTTGTACATATATTTATATCTATTAGCAAGAATGTGTTCCTTTTTGTTTATTTATTTATTTCACTTTTTGGTATATCAATTTGTAATTCTATCCTTAAATGTTAGCTTAGTTTACTTTAGTCTCTAGTCCTAAACAATACGAAATTAGAATTCTAAATACTGCTGCCCGTTGGCCATTCCTGGAATTTGACTATGTTTTATATGACTTACACCATTTAAATAGATATGTATGTATAAATGATAAATAATTATGATTTGTAGAATAAACATATATATATATTTGCCCCTTGTATAATCGATGCACATTGTTTTAGATTGTATTGCAGATAATGAACTGAATTCTCTAATTTACAGCAGTCAGGCATGAGCTAAATTATTATTCTTTTCATCAACCGTCTTTGCTCAGACTTTGAAGATTTATATATTGTATGGGCTCTGACTGTATATATAAATTTAGTTCATTTCTTTTTTAGATCTTTTCATTTCTTTGGCATCAACTACATTCTTATCCTTTTCACCAACCGCTTTCGACAGTCTTGTAATGAAGTATGTGCTAAAATCTTGTTATATTCAGCAACCTCACTGCATTAACAATATTTCTATTCTTTTCACCAACCGCCTGTGGTTTGTTTCGGACGATTACATACTGCAGGGTGTGCTAAATTGTTTTCCCTTCCAACAGTCACGTGTGACCCGAATTGTGTTATGTTTTTCTCAATTTTATACTGTTTTATAATGATCTAAATATTTTTTAAAGCAATCCTATATTACTGTAGCAGGATCTACATTCGTTTTCTTTTCAGTTGCACTTTCTCTGATTTGGACATTTGCTTATCCAGCCGCTTCGCCTTTGCTATCAACGACCTGACCTGACGATCGTGCTCCAATGGGCGCGTGCCGGATAGCTCCGCGTAGCTGGGCAAAGCTTCCGAGTACTTCTCTACGCAAGCTTCTTTAAATTGTTTGGTCAGCTTGACAGAGACGTGACTGTGGCCCATGGAGGTAAGCATATCGAAGGCGGTGCCCTTCAGTGCGTCGAACTGTTGCCGTGTCTTGCCCGTCACCTGCTTACGGCGTATTTTTGTTGTCGTTATAGGCGTCGCTGTAATCTTCGTGTACGTATGCTTGGGCAGAGACTTCTTCTGATCCACAATTAGCTTACGACGACGCAGCTCCAGTTTCATGCTGGGACTCGGCGGCTTTGTCGACGATACCTTTGTCAGTTTCTTCTTTCTCCAGGCAAGCGGAGACTTCGGATGACTGACGCTGGCGCTGCTGCTGCCACCGCCGCTGCTGTTGTTGGTGTCCGTGGTATTCGGCTTGCGCCGCGAATAGGTGCGCATGGGTGGGGCTTTGTGCATGAAGTTACATTGAGCAAAGTCTGGGCTCTTCGCAGACGAACTCAAACTGGAAGTGGATGGAGGTTCAATAACATTAAACGAATCCTGGGTCACAGTTCTGTTGGTGTAGGACTCCAGCGCCAGATTGGGGACAGTTGATGTGGACGAGGTTTCGAGAGCATCCAGACAAATGGGCGGGGGCGTAGGCAAGGCAGCCATCTGACCAGTTCCAGCTGGTACTCTGCAGCGCACTTGTTCAGGCGTCATCTGCATCGACAGATTCTCCTTGTCAGCCCTGCTGATCGCTCGCTCCGATGAGCTGCTGGATGAGGGTGTGCTCCTAGCCAATGGCGACGTCTTGCTGGCAACGTGTGGCTGATAGTTTAATCTCTTGGCCGCGCCAGCTGCAATACCAGCAACGATTTTAACATCGCCCAATTTGGACGCGGGCAGAATCAATTGGCCCGTTTGTACATTGGCAGCCGCAGCATTGCAGCAGCGATGATTCGGTATTATATTCTGGAATGTTATGCGGCCTTTGATGATTTGTGGCATAAAGAGCTCGCTCTCGAATCCGACACAATCGACCAACACAACATTATTGCCGGAGAGTAGCTTAATTTTGAAATTCAATGCAGTGTTTGGCGCTTGGCTCGGCATAGTTATTGTTGCTGTTTTTCGTATTTGTTGGTGGATGGACTTTGTAATTAACGGCGTGTGGCGAACTTTAAATAAAATTTACGTAATTGTGTAAATATTAAAACAATAACAACACCCCGAAGGAATAATTATAATATAACTACATTTGACAAGTAAAACGTGTTAGAAATAATTTCTAGCAGTTTGTTGTTATTTGTCGGCGTCGATAGTAGCGTAGTTCGAAAATAATCGATATGACCAACATCGCATAATAATCGATTATAGATCGTTTAAAACATGAATCAGGGCTGCACAGTCCCCGTATGTTCAATTGGACAAGAAGTTATTTTGCTTTAGTATTCAAAATTTATAAATTTAAGCAGTAAAGATATTTTAAATGAAATTAAGTTGAATTCTAGAATCAAAGAACTTATATTGATTTAATTTAGAATTTATTATATTTTAATTTCAAGTTATCATATTCAACTCATCTTAGATAGAAATCATGAAGAAAAGTTTTTTTTTTTTTTTTTAATTTGCGGCAAAAATTTGTGTTTGGAAGCTGAATCCATAGTTTGGATTTGGTAATATAAACAATGGAAATGTCCCGCGATATTTCTACTAATTGTTGTTGCGTCATTGAAACTCTTGACTGCCATTTGTTCGAAATGCCGGCAAAGAGAGTAGAAAACTAAACAAAAAAAGCTGTAATTTTGTGGCGCTATCTCCTTCTCTCTCTCTCTCTATTTCGCTCTCTGATGTGCGTACATACATACATACATAGAAATGGCTCATTTATGGACTTAGTTTTGTTATTGTCGGCTCTAACGTTATGATATCAGAATTGTTAAGTTTAGATTTGGTTGGGGAAGCGAATACAATATTTGCTGACCCAAGTCTTTGATATAAAAGCATATTTTGAACGTTTTCCCTCAATATGTTTGTTTGCCAGCGCAGCCCATCATTTATTGTTGTGGTTCTACATGTGATCGCACATTTTCATGTTAATACGAAATACAAGTTACAAAATTATATAAATAATATATACATATACACATATGAAAGCTGCATATGTATGTATGTATGTACATGCATTCCTGTGTATAGATGTACATATGTAATATACACATGTACATAAGTATAGTTATTAATTGGCTACTTTTTTGTTGCTAATGTCGCTTATCTGAATTTTTCAATAACTTAGTGTGTATGCACATACATACATACATATATACATACATATGTATGTATGTATGTATCGATCGAAGAGTCTTCGACCAAGTAAAATGACTCACTAAAATATAGTGTTTAGAACTTGCAACAACAATATCACACACTGCCCTCTTTCCACTACTCTCTCTCATTTGGCTAAGTACTTTTTCGAAATTCAATTTCATAACGCTCGGGTATAAAAGCTGCCGGCATATTAGAGAGAACTTCAGTCAACTACGACCAGCACAAGGAGCAGCAACATTCGCCGAGACTTATTGGCTTTGTTCTCTGTCGCAATTTGCTTTTTCATCAACAACAACAAAGTGTGTGATAATCGTTAGCAATGGCGACAACTATCCAGATGACCAATGAGCAACTTCACGCGCTCATCGAGGCTGTTCGCTCGTCGGCGGTTAACGCAGCCGGCAATGCCGCTGCTGCTACTAGCGAAGCCTCAAAGACAAAAGGAAGTTTCAGCGCCTGTACACACAAATTCGGCGGTACTCGCAGCCACGACGAGGTCGAGGAGTTCATCACAAATATTGTCACCTACAAGGAACTGGAGGACATCAGCGATGAGAATGCCTTGAAGGGCATATCCCTGCTTTTCAATGGCATTGCATCCACCTGGTGGCAGGGCGTACGCAAGGAGGCAAAGTGCTGGAACGATGCCATCAGCCTTATTCGCGAGCACTTTTCGCCCACTAAGCCGGCTTACCAGGTCTACATGGAGTTCTTCGAGAAGAAGCAGCCCGACTCCGTTGCCATCGACACCTTCGTGATCGAGAAACGTGCGCTGCTCGCCCAACTGCCGGTGGGACGGCACAACGAAGAAACCGAACTGGACTTTCTCTACGGCCTGCTCAACATCAAGTACCGCCAGCACATTCCTCGCCAAAATATCTCAACATTCCGCGATCTGCTCGAGCAGGGCCGCATCATTGAACACAACGACCTGGAGCAGGTTGAGGCGCAACCAAAAGGACCGCTACGCGGTGCTAATCGCGTTGAACGCTGTACCTACTGCAATTTCCGCGGTCACACGTTCGAGGTCTGTCGCAAGCGGCAGACGCGGGATCAGACGAATGCGGCGAACTAAACATCAAACATACGCACACGCACACGCAATAAACGGGACATGACATCATCGACATCTACAACAACACCAACATGCGCAGGGCGCATATTTGGATGCCTACGTCAATGTTCTCTCACCATCTCTCTCACATTAAAACTCACTTTGTCAGCTGGCCTCACATGGACACGAGGAGAGTGGAAAATGACAACATTGAAGAACAACAGTTGCACACTCAGAAAGCTCTAGCAGCTTTTTGCCTATGTCAGTTTTTGACTCTCATTCAGCATCAAGTGGCGTGCGGGCCGGCAAAGCAGAGCCAAAATAACGGCATTTCGATGTCGCATACACTTCACGCCGAAACTTCGGCTCAATTTGGCTGTGAACGCCAGCGTAAATGATTTTTCGTGATTACTAATCACAACTGGAACTCTACTACAAGCGGTGAACTTGTTCACCAACCCTCGAGCGTCAGGATTTGGAGAAATGCGGCGCACGCATTTCGCCCCTAGGCTAAGTTGTTGAGCGGCGTGTGGCGCAGCCAAGCAGCGACGCTTGCTCGTGCATTGTTTATCTCTGCACAGTTCCGAAGAACTGTGCAGTCGGTGAGCTTTGTGCGGGGCCAGCGTCGTTGCCTGTGCTACGTTTGCGTCGGCTCAGCAACTCGGGCTGTGATGGGTGTTGCGTGTGCTTTGCTTTTCCCCTTTTCTTGTCGCTCAAAACCCGCTGCCTTGACCTAGTGTTTGCGCAACGTAGCTGTGGTGCCGTACGCTGCATTCAAGCAGAGGGCGTGAAGCTTTGCTGGCTTCGGCCAGTGGATCTATGCGCTGCTCACTTGTCGCTTAGTTCGAAACTACAGCTGCTTTCGCGTCGATGCTTAGTCAATGCAGCAAAAAAAAAAACACGTCCATGGGAAGACAACGCAGTGGCTTTTGTGTGTCGCAAGCTACGAGGAGCAACTCCACGCCGCTGCTCAGCTCTGGCAGCGCGCTGCGGTTTACTTAGGGTGCGTTGCTGTAGTTCGCTTCGGTGCGCTGCAGCAGCTCGCTTTGGTGAACTGTAGCGCTGCTGCTAACTGGGTTCGGCTTGAAGTTGTGGCCTTTGCTGGTTGCTTCTGCGCGACAGCCGCTGCTGAGGCTTGGTCATGGGCAAACTTTCATTTTCTTTTACAGAAAATCGAAAAAAACAACCAAACTTTTTAAACCGACATTTTTAATGTCAAACTATGTATTACATCGCACTACAATGGCTATGCTCTCGCCATTCGTGCGGTTGGCACGCTAAATTATCAGGTACCGGTGGCAGTTCCTTCTTTGGAGCTGCACTTGCCTGGTAAGCGTTAGGCACGCCAGCTCTCACACACATACACAAAACCGGGGCTTCCGATTCGTCGCTCCTTGCCGCTCCAGATTGTGGCGACTGTCGAGGAGCTCCACAATGTTGCAGTGCAGTCTCTTGTGCAGACTCCATAGGCGCGTAGTGCCATTCCTAACAACGTCTGTGTCTCACACACCATGGTAGCCGTTGCTCTGCCGCGTGCGCCATCTTTTTTGGAGCACATTGGCCAATCATATCGTAGCAGACGCGGCGGTCTGCGTTTCCCGATGAAGTGTGCGCGATGTCCAACACTCTTCGGCATTCGCATACTCCTCAAGCTGGGGGCCTATCGACGACCACAAGAGGCTGCAATCAACACAAAATCATCAACAACCCAGAAACTGAGATCATCTCAAACAAATACAAAAAAAAACTACTCAAACCAAATTCTCAATGTGTTTTTATATGTGACATTGTGGGCGGGGTGTTTGCATTTCAGTTCTCAATATTTCAGAAATCCGAAATTAGAGAAGATCGCGCCAAGTCGGTTTTCAAATTTACAGCTGAAAAATACAAAGGCTTTTTTTTTTTTTTTTTTTTTAAATTGTGTATGCTCTTTTCTGATTTATTATTATTATTAAAATATTATTTTTATTTATTTATTTTCTTTATTATTTTTATTACTTATAAAATAGCTTATAAATGTATGAGCATTCATATCACAGTTGACTTTCCTTTGCTTCGTACGAAAAAGTAGTTCGATTAATGGCTCTCTTTCGCTCCTCTTTTTTATGACAGAAGTGAAAATACCCTGCAGATTAACTAGAATTTTCATATATTTTTTAATAATTGAGTTACATAGATATCATCTATTTCGTGCGTTCGATCATGCGGCCGCGTTCGAGCAGCTCTCTGAACGACTTGATCTCGTGACGTGGTATGTGACTTCTGTACTTCTGATTCATCAGGCCATAGATGAAGTCCAACTCTGTCTCCTCGTTGTGACGACCCTCCGGCAGCTTGGCCAGCAGCGCACGCTGCTTGCATATGAACTGGTCGATTACTTCGCCGTCTCCCTGCTTCATTTCGAAGATCTCCATGTAGATCTGATAGGAGGGTTTTGTCGGTGAGAAGTGATCGCGCAGCAGTTTCAGTGCGTCTTGCCATGTGTGGGCATCTCGTCGCACACCCTTCCACCACATAACGGCAACGCCATTGAAGAGCAGCGAAATACCCTTCAGTGCGTCTTTGTCACTAATGCCCTCCATCTCCTTGTAGGTTTCTACGGCTGTTATGAACTCATCGACGGCGTCGTGGTCTCGCTGCCCGCTAAACCGCACCGCGCAGTTGCTGAAGCTGCCCTTCGATTGGTGATCCTCATCTTTCTGCGGCGCCAGGGATTTGATTGTGTCGATGAGTATGCGAAACTGTTCGTCCGACAGCAGCGTCATTTTCTGTGTTGTTTGGTATTAAATAAATAAACAAAAATCAATTGCTGCTTCTCTGCCGTCAGCGTACCAACTAAATGAAAAAACCACTTGGAGAGCTTTTTGCGTTGTGAAATATTTGTGATTCATTTGCTCTCTGAGAGCGGGCCACAAGTTTCGAACTCGAAAATCCGGCAACTGTTGATTTCGTGAGTGAGTAACGTTCTCTTGTAAATATGTTTGCATATAAACATTTAAATATATGTGTATGTGAATATGTCCGTTGTTTTGCAAGGGGACTTTTTGTTCGTTTATCTTAGTTTAACACGAAAAGATAAAGGCATTCAAGGAAAATTTGAAAGAGACAAATATCGAAATAGCGCAATAATTAAATTAAAATAGATTTGTTACATTTTCTTTTTGTTTCTAGGAAAATATTCTTCTGCTTTTTAAGCGGTTCTTCAGCTAACTCTGTAGGACAACATCATCGATGGAAGGAGATATACATACACATGCAAAGCAAAAATAACGCAGGATAGTATTATATATTAAGATATGTGTATGTGTACTTTTATAAATAATTGTATATTTAAATCAGCAAAAGCTTCAATTTTGAAAAGAAATAAATTATTTCACCCACCGATCGCTGCAGACATAAAAAAGGTGCGACAGGTAAGCAAATCATACACATACATATGTACATATGTACATATGTACATACACTGATAACTCAACTAGAAACAAATTATAGTTCCAGTTAATGACTATAAAAGTCAAGGTGCATGTTTGAACATGTTCAATTCCATAGAATTGATAAGAACTAAATGTATGATTGCCGAAAATGATTAATAACAAATATCTATAAACATACATATAACATTATATACATATGTATGCATAAACTATTTCTTTTAAAGCTCTCTCTGAGCGGTTTTGCAGATTATTAAATCCATGTATCATTCATACACTACATTTTCTCAGAGAGCGTATTTTTGGGTTTCAAAGTTCCATTTCACAATAATGTGCTACAAAGCCAACTACAAAAGCGAAAGACATGTCAGTCCGTTAGTAATCGTTTGCTGCTGCTGTTGACTAATGTGTCTATAACATGGCTCAAACAATACAAATGACCAATGAGCAGCTGCGGGAGCTCATCGAAACGGTGCGCGCTTCTGCTGTGGCAGCTGCTGGGGTTGCCGCCGAATCTGGTGGAGCTGTCTCCGTGACCAAGTCGAAGGGCAGTTTCAGCGCCTGCACGCACAGGTTTAACGGTGCACGAAACCACGACGACGTCGAGGAGTTTATCACAAATATTGTAACATACAAAGAGCTCGAAGACATCAGCGATGAGAACGCTTTGAAAGGCATTTCGTTGCTCTTTTACGGCATTGCATCTACCTGGTGGCAGGGTGTACGCAAAGAGGCAAAGTGCTGGAACGATGCAATTGACCTCATTCGCGAACACTTTTCACCCACCAAGCCGGCTTATCAAGTCTACATGGAGTTCTTTCAGAATAAACAGGAGAATAGCGTACCCATGGACACCTTCGTGGTCGAGAAACGTGCGCTGCTCGCTCAATTGGAAAACAATCGACACGACGAAGAGACGGAACTGGATTTCCTGTACGGTCTGTTAAACATTAAGTACCGCAAATACATTCCTCGCCAGAGTATTTCAACATTCCGCGATCTGTTGGAACAGGCGCGCATTATCGAGCATAACACTCAGGAGGAATCCGATGGCCAGCCCCCACGGAAGCGTCCTTACTCAGGTATCTGAAATAAAGTATGTTTCTTTCTCTCAATGGAGTCTAATGAACGATTCGTTCTCCATAGAATTTTCGTCAACTGGTTACATCCCTGGTCGAGGTAGAGGTGGAACCCGAGGACATGGCAGAGGCCGAGGCAGAGGCAGAGGTAGAGGCCGGGACTTTGCTGCTCAGCCGAATGGCGAAGAGGACGTACCAATGGCCACTGAACAGCAAAGCTAAACACATAGCCGAATATTATTTAGGCACACATGCATTGAATCATTCTTCACATTTAAAAAGTAAACAAACTTAAATAAATGAGGTGTGCAGTCGCAAATAAGGATATGTATTTCGATTTATTCAACAAGTTAATTTAGCGCATAGCGCTGCCATATAATTGATAGAGTTGCCACTAGGTACTCATTGGGCAACCAGGGCAGTGGCGCATTGGTATCGAAAATGGTCTGGGACTGCGCAGTGCGCAGGGTTGCTGTGCAGCTAAAAGTATTGGTATCGGACGGTCGTATTTTTGTTATGCTGTTGTTGTTGTTTAGCAAAAATGGATCAACAACTGCACCGTCTGACGGATCGTCATTACTCGGAAGTGGAGGGCTTGCTACAGGTATACAAACATCATCTAAATATTGTTAGCATGCCAAAATTTAATGTGTCAATTATTACAACGCCCAATTTTTCGCCCGTTTTCTTCGTCTGCTGCTGCCCACTCACGCGAACGCACCCACTCTCAAAACACCAACACATACACACACATAAAAACACATTAACACAAATACACATACACGTACGTATGCAGGCTATGGACATGCCGAGTTCCGACCACGAAGAAATTGACTCGGAATCGTGCCGACTCAGCCGGTATAATGTGGCCAACCTGTATGAGGGACGTCAGCGTTGCTACACAATGCCGCACGTGCCCCCAGCGCCGCCCTCCACACCAACGTTGTTAACGTCCAACGGCAGCAGCGGCGGCAATGTCAATGGGAACGGCACTGGTAACAGTAACGGTAGCGCCAATGGCAGCTCCAGCTCACCCACCGCCAGTCTGGTGGCCGATAATCAATCAATCAATCATTTTATCTATGTTAAAAACGGTAAGAACCTGCGTCGCGAAACCCGTTGCGTTGACTCCGAGCTATCTAAGCTGTTCAACGTGGTGTCCATCACAAATCGGCTAACTGCCGTCAAGAATCGTGCGCACAAACTGCATCAGCATCAGCAGCAGCATCTGCCGCTGGCCGACCGTGGTATTTTAAATGCATCCCGGACCATATCCAAGCTGCATGGTGCGACGAAAATCTTTAAGATTCATCGCGATCCCAAGGAATTCCTGCGCGAAACGGACGAAGATTCAGTGTCGGCGCCCGAATACGATGAAGAGGAGGAGGACACACGTTTCCGTTTCTTTCGACGGACACGACACTCACGTCGGCATTCGTATACGCGTATGGAGCGTAAATTTGCCCGGTTCGAGCATCACGAGCGCATGGAGACGATCGTCGATAGCTTCGATGCGGCCATGAGTTTTAACGATGCAGATACCTGAGCGGATGCATCAGCTGCCGCTACAATCACTAGAACAACAACAACAGAAACACCTTCAACAACAAATAGAACAGCAACAGCAACAACAACAAGAACAACAGCAAGTGTAGCGACAGCTTCTGCATTCAAGCAACAACAACAACAAAAACAACAACAACAACACCACAGGCACGAAGGGCAAGTGGTTGGCCGCCAAGTGCAAACCAATGTGATGAATGTGAATTTCAACTAAATTATTTTTATTACTACTATTATATTACTATTATATTACGATTATGATTACCGATTATCGATTACCGAACTGTTCTCTCCATACATTTAGTTCTCTTTGTGCGCCAATTGGCCCGTCGCATCAGACACTCTTGTGGCACAATCTGCTGGTCTTCAGATCAGGCAGATACCTCAGCAGTTCTCACTCCAGAGAATCGCTGACGCCGCCACAAGTGAATGCATCGATGAAGCGCAGCAGGTCACAGCATTTAGTTTATAGTTCTTAGTTTTTACGCCTGGGCGGCTCCTCTCATCTGAATATTGCAGTCGACGACGGCAACAATAATAATAATAATAATAATATATAAATAATAATATAAAACAGCAACAAAAAATAAGAAAGAAAAGCAAGCAAAATGCACAATTTTTAGTATTTAGTTGTGGCCTGACGAGCGCCGTGTCCATTTGAATGAGGAGCAGCCAAACGAACGATTCCAATAAATGATGCACAAATTAATGTGTTGTATTTGTGAAGATGAAACCGCAATTTGTTCTTTTCATTTAACCACTACCCAAATGGATCTACTTAAGAAATTGTTTATATATGACATATATTTTAATAACTTTCCCACATTTAATTTGTACAAAAATATAATTTCGAGTCTGTTTTAAAAAAACACTTTAGAATAAAATGCAATTCCACAAAACTGTCATAACTAAACAATTTCCTAAAGTTATCCTCAAACACATAGATTGTTAATAGAAAACCCTCCACAGTTGGATTGAGATGGCATCTAATCTAACATCCATTATATCTTTTTAATTTTATAACTTAAATTGAGTTAAGGTTAATTTTCAAAATAGGGAGAGGTCACAAAAGGAGGAGCTACAGACTAAAATACATGTTCCGAGAACCGAATAATATATATATATATATCTATTATAGATATATATATGCTTTAGAAGCTAAACAATTTAACAATGTTGTTAAACCCTAATAACAACATAATAATGCTAACAACTAGTTCGAGTAATGTCAATTGAGTGGGGCTTAGTTCAGATGCGCTCCTTGAAGAAGTTGGCCATCAGATTCTCTTCAAGCTGGGCTGGATCTGTCACTGGCATGCGGCAGACACGATCATGGCAAATGTAGACGGTCGTCTTGCCGTTGACCATCTTAAACTTCTGTTGCAATCGCTGATTGCATGCCGCATCCGGATGCAGTGGATCGCAGTGTACGATGATCATGCCCGGCACATAGAACTTTCGCACAATCTCTACAAAGCGTCGCGTATCCTCGGAATCGGGACCCACCACAGCCACCAAATCGAGACCGTTTTCATGTAACAGCAACGCCGACAACATCTCGGGCAAGGCATGGCCAAAGGGCGAGACATCGGCAAAGTAATTTAACAACTTCGTAGCACGCTCGAAATATTTCCGATCGTCGTAATAATGCGAAAGCAACGTAAGATTACGAGCAGCCACACTGTTGCCACAGGGCTCGGCGCCGTCGTGATCTGCGTAAAGAAATTGTGATGAGATGTGGAACGAGCCTAGTTAGAGTAAATGAGGCTGTACCTTCTTTAAGTCTCACTATGACATTTGGCGCATTTTGCTGAGAAAAGAAATAGGCGCCCTTATCTTCATCCCAAAAGAGTTTGTCCTGTGTCTCCTGCAGCGTCTTGGACCAATTCAAAGCTTCCATTTCCAAGGAGGCCTTGTAATAGTCTAGCAAACCTTTGATTAGAAACGCATAATCATCCAGGAAGCCTTCAATGCGAGTGCTGTAAAATGGGTCACATATAGTAGATATATGTGGTTAAACTCTCTCTCTCTCTCTCTCTCTCTCTCATTCACTTACGCATTCTGCTCAAGCGTATCATCCGCCACGCCCGCTCCGTAGCAGGAGCGCAATAGCAGCTTTTCATCTTCATCGTACAGATGTTTGCGCACAAACTCCATCAGTTGCTTGGCCGTAGCCAAATACGCATCTCGCTTGGCCGTGCCACAATTGGCCAGCTTTGCCAGGCCGGAGAGTACCAAGCCATTCCAGCCACAGATGATCTTCGTGTCCAAATGTGGACGTGGACGCTGATCCCTAATCTTGTGCAATATCTCATTCGCTGTCCGCAGCAGCTGCTGCAGTTTCTCCAGCTCCATGTTGAAGTTCGAACAAGTGTCCTCCTCTGAGCCACGCACTATCAATATATTCTTGCCAGTCAGATGGCCATGCGGATCACTGGATGGCGATACATTGCCCGACGGCTTCAGGTCATAATGGAAGCTGTAAATCTCAAAAGCACGTGCTGCACTGATATCCTTAAAGCAAGATTCTTCTTTTTGAAATGCCTGCTTCACTTCATCCCATGTCCAGGCATAGAACGCACCCTCAACCTTGACCGTATCCTCATGGGTAGGTAAGGAATCGGCATCCTCGCCTGCATAGAACCCACCTGCCGGATGCCGCAAATCCTTGATCAAATACTCATAGATGCGATCTGCATAGCCCAGAAACTCTTTGCTTCGGGTCAACTTGTAGGCATTGGCATACGCAGCCATTAGTTGTCCCTGATCGTACAGCATCTTCTCGAAGTGTACATTGTGCCAATCTCGTGTGGTCGCATAGCGCGCAAAGCCGCCGAAAATGTGATCATTGATGCCGCCACGTCCAATGTGATCCAGCGTCTGCAGCACCATGTCCAGCACATCCACATCCTTGGTAACCAAATAGGCATGGAACAAGAAATTGAGTCGTGGTACTTCCGGAAACTTGGGCTCTCGGCCAAAGCCCGCATGCTGCTGATCGAACCGTTGCTTATGTACGGCCACCGCCTCCGCCAGCTTAGCATCGCCGCTGCCCCGCTCGAAGGCCATTTCTGCACTAGTTCCAGCACTCTGATTGGTTTGCATGGCCTGCAGTAGAGTGCTGCCCGCTTTTTTGAGGGAATCGCGATCTGCCACCCATTTCTTAGCTATCGACTCCAGCACCATGGTGAACGAGGGCATGCCATAGCTGCGCGCAGCAAAGAGTTTTAGGGGTTTTCAGTCTTGAAAGGAAATGTGTTATGCCTTACCGCGGCTTTGGCGGAAAATACGTCCCAGCTGCCAGTGGCTCCAAATCTGGCGTTAGCCAAACGCTCATTGGCCAGCCCCCACTGCCCTTGGACATGAGGAGGAATTGCATGTAGACTTTGTCTATATCCGGTCTCTCCTCACGATCCACCTTGATGTTTACAAAATGTTTGTTCATCACCTCAGCCGTGGCGGCATCCTCGAACGACTCATGCTCCATGACATGGCACCAATGGCACGTGGAATAGCCTACTGACAAGAAGATCAGCTTGTTCTCGCTGCGCGCACGCTCAAAGGCTTCCTCACACCAGGGATACCTTTCAAGGAGGTTGCCAGAAAGGTTTACTTTTTTATCTCATTTCTTATTAGAAAACATACCAGTCGACGGGATTATGCGCATGCTGCAGCAAATATGGCGACTTCGATGCTGCTAATCTGTTAGTGTGCTTTGGCGTCTCCGCCTTTGTTTCGCCACCCGTTGCCATGCCACGAAACAGGTGCTGATGCTGCTTCTGCTGATGTTGATGCTGCGGATGTGCTGTTGTTGTCGTTCTGCTACGGTTTAGTCATTTGTATTAAAATATCGCAAGCAATTGGTATTTTAGAACTTACTCGTCTATTAGCCAACTGCGATGTAATTGTGTTTGAGGCGCTGTAATTGCCAAAGCGCTTCTAATCCAGTTTTGGCAGAGTGTTTTGCCTCTAAACATAGCAATTTAATTGATAATATTTAATCGAAAGGGCATTCCATCAGCTGATTGCATTGATTAGCAATATATGTTATCGATTGCAAATCAATATTATTCAAACATTTGCACGAATAACAAAAGCTAATGTATGCCACGTTAACATTTGTTTTGAATTACAAGAAAACACGTTTGGTAACATAAATTATTGCTTTCCTTTGTAAATAAGCAATACTATGTGATGAAATATCAATGACTGCTATCGATATATCACATCGTCGATAGTTGCGTGACGATAGTTAAGAGGCAATAGTTACAATTGGGTTTAAGCCACAGTGGCAACGCTAAAGGTACTGCCAGATCGCATCTCAGCGCGGTCAAATTTGAAAACAGAATTCTGTGACTAAGCATTTAAATTGTTTTAAAATTTTTATTAATGCATACAGTTTATCTTTGCTTTTGATAATTATGTAAAAAATTGCTTACACATATGCGGTTGATACATAGTTTACCCTACATACTAATTGAAAATCACAAATGAACATAAAATATTTATACATTATAGTGTGTGTTGTGGTTGAATTTTAAGCACATTAAGTTAAGTTAAATACACACAGCCCGACCAGCAGCTGAGGCAATTCTCGCAAACAGCCCTCAACTTAAAGTTGACAGCACGGAAAATTGAATTGAGAGCCCAGCTAGCAATCGCTTTGGACTAGCGCATCGCTTAAGGCGTTCAACTGCTCCTCGCTGCTCTTGATCCTGTCGGAGAGGTCGCGTGCATCGGCAATCAGTTTGGCCTTCATATTAATAAAGTAATCATAATCGGCGCACATGTCAACGTTGAGATGTTTGCCAATCAGTTTGGCAATGCTGCTGCCACGCCTATCGATGTCAGACTTGAGCCGTTGCGCCTCCTCCAGCTGCTCATAGAGACGTTCACGTTTCGCTGCCAGCGTACTCTGTAATATTTAAAAATAAAGAATATTTAGTTTATGTAGAGAGAGAGAGAGAGAGAGAGAGTCAAATCAATCTGTCTTTACCTTCTCCTGCTGGCTGCTAATCGTCTCTAGACTGCTTTCAGTTTGCGCCAAACGCTCGGAGAGCGAGAGCAAAAGGCTGGTTATGTGACCCACATCATCGATGTAGGTGCGGAACTTGGAGGCTTCGCTGGGACGCACCTTCTCCGTTAACTTGGCCAGCAAATCGAGGCCCAGTTTGTCATTAATGCTGCACTCATCGCAAATTGTTTGCTGCTCACTTTTGAGCGAGCCAATTTTTTGGTTCAACTGCTTGATCAGCGCATGCTGCAAAGACACAGATATTGTGGGTTAGCATGAGGCTTATAGTAATGATATGGACTACTGGATACTCACCAGCTGTTGCTTGATTAAATTCGTGCTATCCGTGTCGCTTGCATCATCCTCATCCGTCAGCTGCAGCTCCACGCTGACCAGCTGCAGCTCTGTCGTAGCAACTGAGTTGCTGGAGCTGCTGCTGTTGCTGCTGCAGTTGCTCCTGGCGCTGTCGCCCTTCATGCGCATCAGCGTTGAGGTGCCCACATCTCGCTTGGCCGGACGCAGCTGCACATTCGGATTGTACAAGTTGTTGACATACTGTGTCGTTGGTTTATATCTTTTTGGTGTTAGGATTTCGATGAGTTTGTCGTTGGGCAACAGCTGCTTGATCAGCTCCAAGGCCGCCTGCTCGTACTCCAGCTCGATGGCCTGCTGCTGACGTGGCTGCAGTGTGGTGCGTGTCTGTTGCTCCTCGCGCGTGGCCACCAGCTCATTGTCCAGCAGATCCTCATCCGTTTGGCAGGCCATGTCCGAGGTGCTGGGCGTGGGATTGACAATCAGCACCAGTTCGCTGCGCTGCATCAGCTGCAGGCTATCCATGGGCGAGGCTTCGGGCGTGGCTGCCGTGGCCGCTTCAGCTGCCGGCTCCTCCTCCAACGGAGCAGGGGCTGCTGGGCTGGGCGGCTGCTCAGTGGCTGTGGCGCTGGCTGTGGCTGTGGCTGCAACTGTGCCTGTGGCTGGCTCTGCAGTGGTGCTCGTGCTCATGCTCGTATTCGTGGTGCTGCTCGGCTTGCCATAGCTGCTCAGCAGACCCGCCGTATCACACAGATGCGCTGACATCAGCTGTGACTGCAGTTGTGTTATCTTTTCAATGTTCTCACGCAACGACTCCTGCCGGCTGACAGGTGGCTTCGGCTGCGTCGCTGTCGTCGTCGTCGTCGTTGTCGGCGTGGTGCTAATTACCTCAGCCCGAAAGATGTGTGCAGCTGCATCGTTATTGACATTCGCATTCCCATTCACTGGACTGCACTCCAGTGAGCTGGTGCTCAGGCTGCAATCGGAATTGGAGTTGGCCGGCGAGAGGAGCTGCGGCGGTGTCGCTGGCAGCGATGCCTCCTCCAGCGTCGTCTCCAGATTCTGTGCAACCTGCTTCAGATCCACCTGTGACTGGGAGACGAATGTGGTGGCATCGTTTAGGGACTGCAGTTGCTTCACATCGTACGACTGAGATCGCGTAAATTGTGGCGCTGGCGATCGGCTTTTGCTGCTGTAGGCGTGGCCCATCGTGGGCGTCGAGTACCGTTGCTGCTGTTGCTGCGGATGCTGTGGCTGCTGTTGCTGCTGCTGCACCGTCTGGCCATAGATCATGGCATAGGCTGTATTATTGCCGCCAACAGCATTCGCTGCATTCGTGGGCGTGGCATTCGTTGCGAGATTATTATTGGAGCCGTAGCGCATGGCGACAACCACATCGCCCGGCGAACTGGGCGTCATCGGCTTCACCGGCTTCACCGGCTGCTGCTGCAGCTTCACACCCAGCGGCAAGACATCCGGCAAATTGTTGGGCATTTTCAGCTTGCCCGCAGCAGCGGCTGCCGCCGCAATGCCGTAGCTGGGCTTGCTGTGCGCCACCAGGTCCTCGTTGGAGGTGAGCGTCAGCTTATAGATGCCATGATCCGGATCTGTGTTGTTCAGCTTCTCCAGGCTCTGACGCGGCAGATACGAGGCCTTCGAGTTCGATCTGCAAGTAAATGAAATAAAGCGAATTAGTAGGGGTTGCTAGAGGTAGCTACAATTATACTTAATATATAGGCGTACAAAATTGATAAAAGTTGTATTTATGTAATGAAAAATATATATTTTTATATTAAATGTTCGCCAGGGTCAAGCATAAAAATATTTAAATTTTTGAGAAAATTCGAAAAGAGTCGAGATCCCTTACAATAAATAACACATATATTTAAATACTAATTTTTTATTTTTTTTTATTTTTAATATATCTTTTTTTAAATATATTATATATCTTTCTTCCAAGGGAATTTTTTATTCTTCCAATCTAAGTATATCGACTTTTGAGCACATGAAAGAACGATTGAGTAGACCAAGACGTCATCAAATTAAATTATATAATAATACTAATCTATTTTTAAGGGTTTTTAAGATCTTATTGGATGTGGATTCTCGACTCTTAAATTTAACAGAAATCGAATAATGACTTGAACTAAACTGAGCTGAGTATAATAAATATAAATTTTTATGTTTATTACATAACCATATATATATGTTTATTTATTGACTTTGAGCTCAGTCCCAACTGCAATAGCAAGCGCAAAATCTTGTGAAATTTGCAGCGCGACAAACTTCATCCAGAGTCACGTGTGCGCAGCTAATCAGCATATGAAATTGCCTTTAACAGCCCTACCCAAAATCGTTGGCAAATGTCAATCGATATGTACAATATATACGATATGTACGATATGTATGTGTATGGAGAGGTCATCTGGAAGGGGTCATCGCAGTTCACGATTCGCCACAGTAGCCACATTTATTATGCAAATCTGAGGCAACGCGAAACGAGCTGCTAATTGAGTCCTCCATGGGATCAACTGCACAGATCTTAACAGCTCAACAGCTCAACAGCTCAACAGCTCAACAGCTCATCATCATCAGCCGCAGAAGCAGCAGCAGCAGCAGCAGCAGCATTTCTCAGCACCCACATGGCGAAAGTGGCTGCTCCACAAAACAAGACAATAATAAAATTAAATCAGAAAAAAAAAAAACAAAACCAACAAAAACAAGGTAAACCGAAAAATTATTCTGTGCACGATGCGCGGCGACAACATTTTTGTTTCGGGTATTAAAAACGAAAGTGAAATGTTTACAGTGCAATTATAAAGAGTTTTATGTTTCAGTTTAGTGTGTGCAAAGGGGGCGTGGCAGGCAGTCAAAAACTTTCAAAAAAAAGTGCTAAACTCATTTTCAATTTTAAGCAATTTTTTTTCGCAGTTAGGCCACCCACAGAAGTGTGTTCAAAATGAAGGTGTTGCTCTAACGGTTAACATTTTTGGCCAACAAAATGTGCGTAAAAACTATTTAGATATATATATTATAAGCAATATATATGTGTATAAAAGAAAGCCGACATAGAAATGCTTTGCATAAATTAAGCCACATTTTGGCTGCTTACATCACACTCGAATGTATCTGTATCTTTAGCTGTATCTGTATCTATAGCTGTGTATCTAGCTGTCTGTGCATTTGCATAAGCAAGCCTTTTGTCTAGTTCCCAACGGCTCACACTCACACACACACAGACAGAGCACATTTGTTGATTGTAGCCGACAAAACGCAGCGCAGCTTCTTCACTTTCTTCAGCGCAGGCATCCGTCAGATACATTAGCTGTGGATGTATCTACAGCTGCCGCTGCCGCTGCTGCTGCTGTTGATGGCTGTTCACTTGTTGCTTCTCTTAATCACTTCCGTTCGCCTGTTAAGTAATATGTGATGTGCATGTGTGTGTGTGTCTTTAGCTAATTTTGCCATGTTTATTGTTTTAGTTTTTCGTTTTTCGGCATTTGCATATAAAAGATATCTTTTTTTTTTTTTTTTGCATATTACAGAATGTCTCACAAATTACTTATATATTTATAAGTCTGTGGCTTCCTATTCACTCTCTTGCTTTTTATCTTGTTTTGACACAGGAAAAGTGTGCGTTGATTGATATCCTAAGCTCAGCATTTACCTATGTTTACCTGGCCTTTTGTTTACACCGCGCTTATCTAACATAAATATTATATTATTATAATCTTCAACTCGGGTTTACACTGGACTCTAAATGTACTTGGCGTCTATGTTTTTGATAACTCGCTGAGTGTGCGTTTGTGTATCTTATTTGTCATCAAAGATACACACACACATACACACATACACATTAACACTCTGTGGACAAGCCCCCTCTTAACTTTGATCATATATACATACATATATATATTTTTTATTCATAAATTTAATTGGATTTTTGACTGAGCAAATGCGCGCATATGCTAGCGCTAAAAATAGCAACAAATAATAAAAATAATAATGTTGAAAAAAAAAGCTATTGTAATGAGAAATTAACAGCCATGAAAATGTAAATAAAACGTGTCATAGTTTTGTTTGACTACAAAAAATGAAAAAAAAAAAAAAAAAAAAATAAATAAATAAATAAACTGTTTGCTTGGCTTAGTCAGATTACGTTTTTATAATATTCTTGTAGTTTGCTGTTTTTTGTTTTTTTAATAGAAATTAAAATAAATATCTAAATATATAATTTTTTAACGGCATTTATTATAATTATTATTACTATTTTGTTTCAAATTTTGATTAGTAATTTTATATATAAATTATTTTTATTCATACAAATTTGTTTTATATGTTTCTAACCCATTGTATTTTATATTTATATTTTTTGTGCATATATTTGTTAAACAAGTTATTTTATATTTATGCAATTTTTTAGTTAGCTAACTCAAGTTTTTTATACTGTTTTTATAGAAACAAAATGATTTCTTCTGAATAGTAATAACAATAATAATAATAATACTCATACGAATTTAACCTTCTATATTAATAACATTTAGTTATTATTACGAATTGAAAATTCAAGTCATTTTATGAACACTTTGACATCAATAAACACGAATAGCACAAAGCATATTCTTTGTATTGCCCCACTCAATCTATTGATATCACTAGAGCTGTCATAAAATCTATAGACTAGACTTTATTTTGTATTTAACTTAAATTTACAATGAATTAACCGTGCGGTGGGCTGATAAGCGAAGTAAACAATGGTTTCTAACTGAAAGCCAGAAATAAAAAAAAAAAAAAAAATTTTATAAAAAAAAAAAAAAAAAAAAAAAAATAGAACTGGAAATAATCAGTCTTAAAGCTGATTTGATGCTTACTACGAGATCGATAGATGGTTAATAATCGTATAACTATTTGTTAAGTAATAAGTTGTTATATAGTAAAAGTCTTTATAGATTTATATTATATGACATTGGTATAGATATAAAAAATAAACGAATTAAATCATCAATTTCATATATGATATCATTTTATTTTAATTTAATTATATAATTATCTTTACATGTATTATTATAAATATATCTTCAACAATTCATAAGCCGCTTGAGTAACGAAGCTGATATAACTCGGCCCTTCTATTTATAATATTAAAATAATAAAAAATGCCAAAAAAGAAATGAAGAGAAAATTACGCCCGCAATGCTAAGTAGTTGGATGATAATGCCCAGATTTATGCCAAATTATTGTTTTATTTGTTTATTGTTTAGCTTGCTGTTATTTTTTATTTTTATTTTTTTGCATGCAAAACTTAGCTGTGAATGAGTGTTTAAATGTTGTATAAGACACTGAAAGAAAGGGCTCAAATGAAATGCTTGGCTAGACTGAGAGAGTTGGGGAATTTCAATTCGTATACTCTTAGTATTTAGTCTCACTCTCCCCTCTCTCTCACTCCCTCACTCTCTCACTCTTTCTGCCTGGTCAATAACATTTCCATTTCCATACAATTAACGCATATTTTTATGGCCATTTGTGCGTGTGTGTGTGTGTTTTTGGCCATGTTTGGGGCGCTGGTTATGTGATGCAAATTATGAATAGCAAAAGAGCAGATTTTGATAAATTGGCCTGGCCTTTTGTTTGGCTTTGTTGCATAAGCCAGAGCAGCAGCAGCAGCGGCAGCCGATGGGCTTTAGCTGCTGCGGGGGTTCACTGTACAGGCAAACGACTGAAAATCAAATTGGCAAACGCATCCACAAATTGCCAACCCACTGTCAACTGGCGCCTGTGGCATGCGGCATGTGGCATGTGGCAAGTGTGGCAAGTGTGGCTAGTCTGGGGTGCTTTGGCCTCGCTGCGTGGCATACGCAATGCCTTGCACTATAATTTTTTGTTTTTGCTTTCTGCTTCTTCTTATTGTTCAGTTTTTTGATCAGCAGCAATATAACGAGCCGCCGACTAGTTTTCTTTGATAGTAAAAGTATTTTATTTAAATATGCCGACGCATGGAAATCACGTTTTTAACATCTCGTCTTAACATTGAGCCAAAGAAAAAAAAGAAGGCAAACAAATGCTCGCTGTTGCGGTTGTTGTTGCTGTTGTTGTTGTTGTTGTTGCTGCTGCTGCTGCTGTTGCTGTTGTTGAAAACATAAACATCTCACAAGCCGAAGCCGAAAAAAAGCAACTTCAAACCGGATTGAACGCAGTCGCACACATTTTCACTTGCCGCAAAGTGACGTCAAGAGTCCAAGACACAGTCAAAACAGATGGCCAATACGCGCAGTTAGCGTCGCAGTCGACGTCGCAGTTGCCACTTTCTTCATGAAATTGCACTGAGGTCAGAGCAAGGGGGTATCAAGAGGTCAGCCTGGCAGCAAGGCACACACACACACACACACACACACTTACACACAGCCTACACACACTCGCACGCACCAGCAGCAGAACAAATTGCAGCAACAACAACAACAGCAAGTGGCATGCTCTTCAAATCTCTTGCAACTTCAACTGTCATAAGACTCTGGTATTTAGGCTTTTTATTTTTATACATATTTATATACATATACATATACATATACATACATATATATATTTCTTTTTCTTTTTCTGTACATCAATCTATGGCATAAATTTCTCTTGGAAAAATTACTGTAAAATACCAAAAAAAAAAAAAAAAAA